ACCAAAAGCTTTTAGCCATCAAGTACGCGGCGCTGCTGCCACCAACAAAGCGCTGAGGAGCATTGCAGAGCCAAATCTGGCCAGAACATTTGTTTGTAATTTCATGATGGTTCATAAGTTGAAAAGTGTATTACAATATACATTTTATTACAATAAACAGAGGAAGTGAACGAGAGAAGCAATGTACGTCTGTGTTAGTGGTCCTGTAAGGATGAGTGTGTGTGTCCGATTTTCTAGGGAAATCGCATCGCTTTCAACTGCAAATTAAATGCAAATTCAAATTGCCAATGATTATGAGCCGAACGAGGGCACACAGAGCACTGGGGCCTCAGTGTTTTATTATATTCAGCAGCGACGCACAGTGGACCAGGCGGAAAGGCAGTGAAGCGTCATAAAACGGGTCCATACTACTCTTAGCTTAGTGATGCTCAGTAAGGAGTAGGAGCTCTACCATGCCGGTCAGTTGGCGGTGAGTCAGTATATAAATAGAAATATGTGTTTAAATGCAACCAATATTACCAGTTGGCAACTGCGAACGCATCTGCCTTGAAGCATGCCAAGAAGACACCGGCAAACTGGTCGACAGATTAAGATTTCTTGTAATAGAAAAAAGTAGTTCCGCTTTTAAGACTCGCTTAAAAAGGTTGTGTTTTAGAGTTGAAAGAATGCTAACAGATAATACGTTATAGTAGTAGATAGTAAACACAACAACAATAATATTGTTTTAAAAGCAATAACAGCTTCGCCTACATAAGCTGTCTACTGGAAATGCATTAATTTTAAACCTTTTCAAATTCAACACCTCACAGTCTTAGATTGTGTCAATCGCTCCATTTTTATTATGAGTACGCTCCTTAAAGATTATAAGATTATTTTATGAATATTCAACAATTACAAAAAACATCTTTCAGAATACAGGCTTTTCAGCAAACAAAGAGGAATCAGACCTAGGGTATCTTCATATGTAGCTTTCGGGCATTAAAGAACATGGACGCACGCCATAATTTAAAAT